TTTTGTGAACTCATGAGAGTCATTCCTGTAACCACAGCTTCAGCAGAAATTTTCATGACAGCAAGCTCTCATGTGTAGAATGTGTAGAATTCATATGTATGTTTTCTGTGACATGATGATTGGCAAATATGTGTGAACTATGAGGCAATGGCTTTTTATTTTTTCACTTTCTTTAGAGCTGTAGCATTAGCTAAATGAATATAGTGACAAATGATGACAGGTGCATCACTGTCCATACTTTAAATGACTGAAAGTTTAAAAGTCTTATTTTTGCTAGTATCTTGTTTTGATGCATTTGTTTAGGGGAATGAGGGAGGATAAAAGATTTATTTCAGCATAACTTATATGCAGACTGCCATGCATTATATGTTTCATTTACTCTTATATTTATCTTAATGTTGAGACCTTCGCTGAAACATTTTCATGTTACAACTGGATGAATATTCAAGAAATGTATATATTCTACTGTACTAGAAATGAAAAGCAGACTTTGCATATTATCTTATGTATAACTTTATGAGTTTATCTTACTGTTCCAGAATGAAATACAACGTTTATGGCTTGCAGTCTTTTCAGAACACTTACTGGTGGAAATACTATATTGAATTCACAGATATGCTCTTGCCTAGGGTTTATAAACAAAACCATAGTATGGAAAGCATGATTTTCATGTTCCATTGTTGTTAACCCAATGCTTCTGGGGATGGCATGTAAATACATGCCATACCCACTGTGAGTTTAGTTTATTGATTGTTTTTACAAATAGATGGTTCCACAAGTACTTTGTCACGAACAAGCCAGTACTACCTATCTCACCTTTTACTAATTTTCTTGATTTTTGGATATTTTTATTGCTGTTTGTTATGTTACTAACATTATAATAATTATAATGTCTTATGATAGCATTAGTAAAAAACAATTACACTCGAGGAAAGGTGAAATGAGGTGAGGTTGCGAGGTCTACCAATTGACGCCTTAGTGGCTAAACACTTGTGAAGCCATTTGTGTACAGACATTTTTTAAGCAATACTACAGTGAACTACATTTCCTGACAGCATTGGGTTAAGTAAAGTAGACAGTGGAACAGGAATTAGAATTTCCTAACTTTTCCCCAGATCAAATGTTAGCTTCAATCAGTCTCCAGTCCAGGTGGTCGGTTAATTTGGCTGCTAGACTTTTGCACCTCACTGAAAGAGTATATTTTGGAGCTGGGAGTAAGGTAGGAAGTTGTGACCCTTAGGTTAGTCTGATTTTTGTTCTTTTCGAGTTTTGTTGCAGGTCGTGCCAAGCATATAAAGAAAAAATTATATAGCTGGTTATTTTAGCAATCTTAATTGATTAAGACAATATGAAAATGCCTACAAAATCACTCCTAAGAAAAAATGAAATTATAAAAGAAGAAAAGTTATTATAAAACATTATTTTTTATAAGACAAATATAAATATGACGATAGAAACTTGATACTGAGAGGTGCAGAAGCTCTTATTAAGTTATTTTATATGGTTATTGGCTATTACATATGGAGAAAAAGAGATAAAAAAAATTTATGTATTTTTTTTAACCAAAGAGAGAGAGAGAAAAATATTTCTAATAATTTAAAGTTTAATCATGTTATTTGTACACCAAGAAATAAAACTGGGTCATCATATAAAAAGTGGGCTACTTTTCAGCTAAGTGTGAACAACATGAGTGCGCCAGCTCAGCAGCAGACTGACAGAGGGAATTGCGTCTTCTGCAGAATCTGTGATGGAGTTGAGCCAAATAACATCTTGCATCAGGTCAGTATGCTATAAGGGGAGATTTCCTCTTTCTAATTGTTATCAGCTTACTTGTATTATAACCCTCTTTTGTACAATAATTTTCAATTAAATTAAAACTGTGTAATAGAGCTTGCATCACAACAGCTGTTAAGAAGTACTGGCTTGCTACAACCACCTTCTTTGACAACATTTTAGGAAAGAAAAATGTGTTACTAAGATATGATTTGATCTGGATAAAAACCTGAATAAATAACAGCGACATAATTCTTCTGTGTGCAAGAATGTTAAGCAGTTATTAATTGTGATTGTTATTGTTTCAGAGGTGTTATTAATTTTTGTGTATAGGTATGCTTTTCTTTGTAACACCATACCATTATTTCAGTGAAGGTCTATCATGAATGTTGAGGTTATTAACACCAAATATGGTAAAAATATAAAACCTTTTTTTTTTTTTTTTTTTTTTTTTTTTTTTTTTTTTTTTTTTTTTTTTTTTTTATCAGGATGATGAATTTGTGGTGTTCCCAGACATCAGGCCAGCAGCTCCCCACCACTACCTGATTGTCCCAAGGCACCACTACATTGATGTCAAGAACCTCTCAGCAGACCACATTCCCATGGGTAAGAGCTCACTGTCATAAAATGAGTATATGTGTTATCTGTCTATATTATGCATTGATTGTCTTTTCTTTTCTACTTATTATCTTTTCTTTAAGGAATAGCAGTATAGATTAAGACTATTGTATCCTGCAATACAGATGTATTATCTGATCTACTTTTAATTTGTATTATCTTTTCTTAGTCTTATGTTTTCTTTAAAAATAACATAGATAAAAAATGTTTTTTTTATCACACAGTGGAGAAGATGGTGTCTCTTAGCAAGGAGGTTTTGACAGCTCAGGGGGGTTGTGAGTCGACTGCCAGACTTGGATTCCACTGGCCACCCTTCCACACGGTCAGCCATCTCCACCTCCATATCATTGCACCAGAGGGGGAGATGGGCTTCATAGCACGTGGGATGTTCAAAAAGGATTCATTTTGGTTTGTTAGTGTAAGTATTTGGTGCACTGGCGTGGGCGTTGATGGGCGTTACACGTATAAGTACATGCACACTCACTGTACACTTGTTACCAGAGTACTTCATTTGTAAATATGTATAAGTTAGTATGTACATGAGAATGATTTTTGTTTTTCTTTCCCGAGAATTATAATGCCACAGCCTTCTAACAAACATTAATCATCTTTCAGCCTGAGACAGCCATCCAAAGACTCCGGCAGAAGATGTAGCACATAGTGCAGTACTCGACAGTGGTGACTCCCAACATTGTGCTAGGCACAATCTAGCCCTCCCTACAGAGTCTGTCACTGTCGTGCAAGTTTTTTCAGAAGAGGGCAGTTTGATGATGATGATAATAACAGTTTGACAATAAAGACGTAAAAATGCTTAGAAATAAATATTATATGTGTGGGACATTGAAGAAGTGTTGATTAATCTGATATATTTTTGTTTGATTATTACAGAGAAATTATTTTATATAAGATTTTGCACATATCTCATATCAGTGCCATGACTATGAGCAAAACATTATTTTTCCTATTGCTTTGTTTCCTTTGACTTGATGTTTTGATTTTGAAAATTTAGTATTGAGTGATAAGTTTTACTGTAAAATAGAGCATTTGCCATATATATTGTGAGATTTTTCTTGCACTATTACCATCAGATGTAGAATCTATTGCATGGAATATTAAAAGAAAATTATTATTACAAGGTCCACTTCTGAGCCACAGCATGTGAAATGGAATTTTTCCCCATAAATGTTATAAATTTAACCTTTGTAATCAGAATTTCATGTAAACATTTTTTTAAAATTAATTTCAGGCCGGTACTTCTAATGCAGCTATTGCACGTTTAATAGAAATATGCCAGTTAATAATGTAAATTAGAGTTTTTGGAAATTATTTTTAAAATTTAGTCCGGTGATTTAACATAGATTCATACTATATGGAAAAGAAAATGAAACGGCTGTGAGTATCATGGTGCACATTTTGAGCCAAAAAGTATGTGGTGTAAATGAAAGTTTATTTTTATATTCTGTTTGTTTGAGGGATAATAATTGCAGGTAAAAATCAACACACATTTTGATTTAAACTTTTGGTGCGGTTCTGTAATTGTTGGAATGCTAAGAATAATACCTATGCATTTATTAAGATAAATAGATATTATGTAAATGATTAGATGTTTAAAAATGACAGTAATATGCTTTACCACCAAAAGAATCACATTGATAAATAAAGAAAATTAGGAAGAAAAAATAACAAGAATGAAGAAACATGCTTTTGGTATTATTTTGACCTTTCTGGAAGGAAGGAAAATTGTGAGGTCCTAAGCGCAGAACGGAAAATACATGGTGCTATTTCTTCATAATGTGTTCCCATGTAAGGCCAGTGTATTGCCATTATATACTATAGTTTTGTATTAGAATTATGTTTCTACCTTTTATAGTTCAGTCAGAGTCAGTAGTATGTTAAATCGTCTATAAGAAGAAATGTTATATTCCTGTTTTGGTGATGTATTCTGTATATTATTTTGTATTGAAGATATTTGTTGAGGTAATTATGCTGTAACTACTTTGATCCTGTTATGATTCTGTTGACCCATGTGCCATTATGAACCCAAAGATGTTACAATATATAGTTCTGATTGTTTTGTATGTTAAGTTTTTGTTAGATATGTTATGCATTGAATGTTATGCTGTTTTTTCTTTTCTTTTCTTTTCTTTTTTTTTTACTGGCCATATTTCAAACACACTAGTGTATATTGCATGCACTCCACCTGCCCCTCAGTTGGGTAACCTGCCATGGTCTTCCTGCTATTCTGCAGCCATAGTCAGGACTAGGTGACTCTGTAGTGGGTGAAGAGGAACTTTAGGACATGTCCACACTGCCCTTCAAAGTGAAACATACATTCAGTCCCTTCCATTTACACCATACCCATCTATACTCATACACACTCATAATCACACCTTCATCTGTACACTAAATACCTCCCCACTCATTCAAAACCTCATCCTCCCAGCAATATAGACATACCCATACCTGTACCAAATAACAAGTATTACATTAGAATTGTGCATAATTGATGTCACAGGGAGGACAAAACACAGACAAATAATAGATGTTAAGGTGTAAGTTGTACAAGTATATAATGTAACAGTTAGTTGTGTCTTTACTAGTATTTTAAA